AAGAAAGAAAGAAAGAAAGAAAGAAAGAAAGAAAGAAAGACTCCCAGGGGTGGGACCAGGACACTGATCCAGTCACAAACCCTTGACCTACGTCTGTCCTTGTTCAAGATACGTTGTGACAATGTTGGCTCAGAGCTTGTCCAAGTGGCCAACCAATGACTGGTGTAACATGAGGCTCAAGCCACAAAAGCCCTTGCTGAACACTGCTTAGTTGTACAAGAACCAGAAGCTGGATGACTCAGAGATCTGGGTTAGAACAAAATACAACTGACAAAAATAAAGTCAATGAAATGACTCCTAATGATATTCTGCTATGCTTATGGTACCTAGCCCAATCACCATCAGAGAAGTGTCTTCACAAAGCTGATAAATGAAACAGAGAGTCACAACCAAACATTAGACAAAGTTTGGAAGCCATTCAGAAATCAGGGAGGAAGGATCATAGGGGCCAGAGGGGTTGAGGACACCAGGAAGAAAATGGCCCAATGACATCAACTATGTAGAGTTCATAGGAATTCACAGAGACTGAAGCAGCAATTACAAGCCTGCATGGGTCTGCACTAGGTCCTCTGTATATGTTATAGTTGTCTAGCTTGGTATTTCTGTGGGACTCCTACAATGGAAGTGGTGGTATCTCTGACTCTTTTGCCCAGTCTTGTAATCCTTTTCCTCCTACTGGGTTTCTTTTGTCCAGTCTTGATATGAGGGTTTGTGCCTACTCTTATTGCATCTTGTTATGAAGTTGATATCACTGGGAAGCCTGCTCATTTCTGAAGGGAAACAGAGAAGCAGTAGGTCTAAGAGCGAGGAAAATGAAGGTGGGGTGCTGATAAGAGTGGAAAGAAGGGAGGCTGTGGTCAGGGTATATTACATGAGAGAAAAATAAGTAAAAATAAATAACATTACAAAAAAATAAATTAAATTGACACAGAATGTAGTCCATTTAGATTCTGTCCCAGGTGTCAGAAAGTAAGGAATCATAGGCAACTGAGTAAAGCTTGGAGTAGGAGAAGGGGCTTTCTCAGAGAGAAGCACACAAACTAGTTGTCCAGTGCCAAAATATCAGCCCTGAAAACATATATACAGGTACTGGTATATGGTATATTTAGGTATATATGTGTATACATGTATGTATACATATAGATATATATTCATCAAACAGCAATTAGTTTTCTGAAAAAATAGGAAGCCATGAATTTTAAAAAGAGCAGAGGGAGTTATATGATGGAGTTTAGGGGGAGAAAATGAAAGGAAGAAATATTACAATTAAACTATAATCCCTAAATAAAAAAATAAAAATAAACAATAATAATGGACAATTTTCTTGTTCTTGGTGGTCACTTCTGAACCACATATTCCCTTATTCATTTTATCTTCTCAGTTCTATTATGTCTTTCATGAATGTTTATACAATGCATTGAGTGTTCTTTCTTTTGTGGACTATATTCTTCATGTATTTAGCTCTGACTGAGACATCAAGTGACACAATTAGACTTCACCAATGAGCTTTTCTGTCTCTGTCTCTGTCTTTCTCTGTGTCTCTGTTTTTCTCTACCTCATACATCACATGACTTACGTCTATATATTGGGGGAGAGATGGATTTTTCAGTTTCCATACAGCTTTCAACCTTCTCCATGCTTCTTTCCTATCAAATGTGCACCTCTAAAGGGAACAATGCTGATTGGAGCATCACTGTAGAGAATAAGGCCATCAAGGGTACAATGAGTGAGATTCTGGAAGAACCATTGCATAAAGATTGTACATAGATGTGCCAGGTATCTGTTGGTGGACAAATCATGGCACTGCCTATGGTGACAGAAATCTACGATAATTGCTGTTTGCAAGCAGTGGCAGAGTCTCTCTGGTAATGATGTTGTTTGGGAATATGGTACTAGCCTCTGTTACTGGCAGGCTATTCACTCAGAAACAGTTATATATAGATTATTTGATAAGGAAAAGCATGCTTTGGCTGTGTGTTGATTTCTGCCACATGACCAGTATTTGTATGAATTTCTTTAAATTAAACCCATGGATCTGAGGAAAGTGAAATCAATTTACTCACATGATCATAAGGATTCTGCCCACCACAAACTGATTTTCATTCATAGTCACAAAAACACAAGTTGTCTACACTTGCTCTTTCCAGACCTTGATCATCTTACTATTAACTACTACTTGTGTCAGATACCTAACTACCCCATCAAACAAGGTATAAATATCCTACTTGAAGCTCTGCTCTTTGGAAAGGAAGAAATAAGAACATTACTCAGGGGATGGTGGATGAAAATAACACCCAGAAGCACACAGGGTGACTGGAGAATGGAAAGAAGCTCACTGATCTGGTAAATAAATGATGGAAGTAAGTGGGAACCAGCAGAAGATGCCTGCTGCTGCTTTGGGATAATATACTGCATTGTGCTATAAAAGGGAATGTCTTACCAAAGGCATAAAGCAGAGGCTTACTTAAAGATTTAAGTGTTATCTATAGTGTCTGACTCACATGTGACCTTGGCTGAGTCGGTATCTTAATAAGAGTTTACTGCTGTAAACAGACACCACAACCACAGTAACTCTTATAAAGGACAACATTCAGTTGGAGCTTGCTTACACATTAAGAGGTTCAGTCCATTGTCATTATAGTGGGAAGCATGGCCTTGTCTAGGAGGCATGGCACTGGAGAAGCTGACAGTTCTACCTCTTGTTCCAAAAGAAGCTAGGAGAATATTGGCTCCCATGTACTTAGGAGGAGGTGTGGGACCATGAAAGATAGTGTGGTCCCTGGATGAGCTAAGACTAGAAGCCCTGGAGATCCTGAAGGATGGTAGAAGCTTTGCCTGCTCCTGGGCACCAGTCCCCTGTCACTAGCCACAGGCCCCTATAGATTTGTGGCCAGTAGTCATGTAAGCACAATTCCCGAACCCCTTCCACATATAGAGGATGTGACCTATGGTCACATGGGCTCAAAACAGATCTCCATGCTAATAAAGTATGTAGAGACCTGGCGGACTTAACCAATAAGCTTTCCTTCCCATACATTCCTCCCCACAAAAGGTATTTAATCTCAGGCCCACCCCAAGAAGGGGGATATGATTTTACACATCCACTTTCCACCATGACTTAAAATCATGAACTGCCTCTGTTCATCGGGATCAGCTGTGGGGAGCCACGGAGATAGCCTTTGCCTACAGAGCCGCTATCTAATCTCCCATAGAAGGCCTCTCTTCACTCCCAGCCATGACCACCACCAAGCCCAAGCCCAAGTCTACCTGCAGTCAAGCCAAGGACTCTCCTCAAAGTACCAGCCAAAGTCCCCTCTTCCCCTACCTATCTCCCATACTAGATCCAGCCTGTGGTAACCACTCTGTTCTCATCTCTTCCGAGGCTCCCAGTGGTGCCTGGGTGTCCAAGAGCCTGAGAACCAGATGGCTCTGGCCTCTTTGCAGGCCTGGGGTCTCCCTGAACCAGTTCTGGCTGTTCCATTCCTCAGACTGCACTTTCCCACCCCCTAACCAGTGTCCCAGAGCTTCCCTACAGCCCAACACCTGCCCATCAATGGCGTGGGACAAACACAGTCTGTCTCCCTGCATTCTGCCTCCCTAAGCAGCAGTGCCATGTGGTGGAGCAGATGTGGGATCCACAACACTACAAAGAAGGTCTTAAAGCACACACACACAATGACACACTTCTTCCAATGAGGCCACACCTCCAAATAGTACCACTCCCTGGGCCAAGCAACTACCACAGTTGGTTTGCCCTCTTTAGCATGAATTTAAACAAACTTAACATCTTTAACCTAAGTCTATGTTGATATTGAAAACTGCTAACTATAGCATATTTAAATCCTTATCAATCTGTTAACACTAATGCCCATGAAAAGAGAGGCTCAGTCTTCATTCCACCTGTCATTGTGGGTGTTTTCCATCTGTTCTCTTGTATGACCAAGCCTTGTTCTTTTCCTCAACACCTCATACAGCTGCCACTAGTTGAACCACTAACACAGACAACAGTAAACTCATACAGGGAAATGAAGACTGTTGTCCAAGAAGAAGCAGAGCCTGCCAGAGCCACAAAGGTGTGGCAATACTACTGGGAAAGACAACAATAACAACACAGCAAGAGCTGAGGGCTTACCACATGTCAGACACTGGTTCCAACACATCACACAGGGTGATGCAGTCAACCCCACAACCTATGAGATCCATAATACTGTTATCCCTAGTGCACATGTTCAGGGGAAAGCTAAGAAACACACAGAGAGAAGGGAATCTATCTATAGGGCCTGGAAAATAACTCCAAATTTTACTCAGATGGTATATGAAGGAATAATTTTTAAATAACATGAAATCATGAAACATGTCAACAATTTAGTCCTGTAATTACTTTTCATGTAGATCAGGGAAGGACTTAGAAAAATGGAGACTGTGTAGAAGAAAGTAAAAATGACTAGCTCTACTCGTTGAAAGGTGGGAAACAATGGGAATCTTGTCTTCTGATTCCCCAAGAACAGCAAGCAGCACTTCATCTGCACTAAGGGAGCCTAGACAGCTCTAGTTCATGTTTACTAAAGCTCAGTATTTTCTTTGGGTTACTTACCTCCTTCAACAGAGCAGAGGAAATATCAAAACATATAAATCTGACCTCAGCATCCAACATGGAGGATCTGTGGTTAGCAGGACCCCTTGGAGAAAGAGTATCTGGGAGACTCTGGTCTGGAGCCAGGTCCTCCTATTGAAGGAGACAAGAAGAAACCTCAAACTTAACCATGCTTCTCTGCCACTGAGGAATAGAGAGAATAGCTCCATTCTTTACACAAGTGATTTGATAACAAAAGACAAGGAAATGAAGACCACTGACTGCTTTGAAAGGCAAAAAACTTTTGCTCTAAAGTATGAAAGTTTCAAGCCAAGGAATGTAGTTCAGTGTGTAGCCTTTGTGAGGCTTTAGGTTCAATCCACAGTGAAAAATAAAAATTAATGGGATGATGGGGGAGACAAAGAGAGAGAGTTTAATATTTGTTTTTACTAAAATAAGAGCAACAAAAGCATATAAAATAAGATAAAGCTTCATTTTATCAAAACTAACAGTACAGTCTCTACACTATATACCTTTTATTCATCTCTCCTCTTTCCCTCTTACTCTCCCTTTTTTTTTTTCAGAAAAACACAGATGAAATAAGTCTTCATGTGCTGACAACAAATGATGAATGTAGGAGGGTTTCAGAGCCCAGCAGGATGCATCCCGGCAAAGGCAGGCCACAGTACTGGGCAGCAAGTGTTGGCAGTCTGCCTTGCTGCTGGAGGAGCGTGTTGTCCTTGCACTCAGGGTGTTCTATGGATACAACGGCACAGGACTTCAGAGACATGGCACCAGTTATGGACAAGTCACCACAGCCAGCTCTGAGCCTCCAACCAAGAAGTACCAGCGCTGAGAATAATGGCAGGATGGGACACTGGACAGCAAGGCTTCCACAGAGGGGTGACGGCAAACTTTTAGAAAAGGACGGGGGACTTTAACTTGTTCCTCCATTTCTCAAACAAACATCCATAACATCTATTAACATTTAAACACATATTGGGAGCTGACACAAGCTACCCAATGATAAAGAAAATTCTGGCCTGGAAAAACTCACAACCTACAATAGGACCTACATGTTTGCAAGGGAGCATTCACATACGAACAAGTGAATGTGGGAGCAGAGGAGGTGAGGACACTCTCCCTGGGCCATAGATGAGCACTGGAAACTACCAGAGCATAGGTACCAGGCAGAGGGGCAGACAACTAGGGAAGGAGGTATGACAAGAACCAGCTAATTACCTCACCTGGCTAAGTAGACAAGTACCCAGGAGAGAAGAGACTTGACTCAGACTCAAGGGACTGTAAGTGCAAAACTTGGGGGACACTGGTAGGTGTCACCAAGAGAGGGCAAGGTCATCCCAACTGGGGAAATGAACAAGGTAAAGTTTTTGAAATGAGAGGTCAGAGATACTAATCCAACGTGAGAGGTAAAGACAGACACCCAGAAGGAGGAAGCTCAACCTCAGATAGGGCTAGGGCTTCCCTTAGTGCTTGAAGTGAGGCCATGTCTTGATAATGTTGTACAATGCCTGCCCAGGAGACAGAGTGTTGGACACATCACTGTGGGCCATTAGCAGGTAGTTGGGGGTCAGGTACCCCTTGACCACAGCACACTGGATCAAGTCCTGGGCTGCCTCCAATGCAGCTGCATTGGGTGAGGAACCTGCAAAACACAGCCAAACCACTGACTGTAAAATCCCAGGGTGCCCAGAGCAGGGCAGAACATGTTCCAAGACCCACCCAGCCTACCACTAAATAGCATATTTGATTTTTGGCAGCCACTCTATAGACAAACAGAACAGCAGATCAAGATATTACATGTCTCAGTCCCAAAGTCTTCCTGACTCCAAATTCCTGGAAATATAAATACAGTCCTGAATAATTCTAAATGTTTTCCTACAGTGAAAATTTGTCCTGGTAGTTCTCTATTGGGAATATTTTAGTACCCTAAGGACCATTTGACAATGCCTAGAGATATACTTGATTGACAAAAGTGGGAGAAGAAAGAACATTTTTATTGTTGAGTTGGGAGAAGGCAATGGCCATACCAACCAAACTTCAAAGTACAGATCTGTGACAATGAGTTATCTCACCCAGAATGTCAGGAGCAGCAAGATTTATAGGTCTTCCCCACAGAGCCAATGTTCAGCCTCTCCTCACCTGCCTTAGCCTCCATCTAGGGCTCATTCAAACCAACCAGAAATGTGTAGTAATAACAGTACCTCACCTTTCCAGAGACCCAAAATGACAGCACTATAGCTCTAATCAGAAGCTCTGAGTAAATGAATACTTTCAGTGTAGTCAAGGCAAATGCCTAAATCTGTGCTTTGGTGTATAAGGCTAAGTGATCTAGAACTGTTACCATGAGAACCAAAATAGGATAGGCTACAAAGGGGAACTGAAATTACTCACAATGACATTTTCCTTTGCTTCACCCATTCATAGTAGCAGGAAGAGGAAGAGGGTGTAGAAGAGGGAGGGAGGGGGAAAGGAGGAAGAGAGAGAAAGAGTGAAAGAGGGAGAAGTATAAAAAGAGGGAGGGAAGAGAGGGAGAAGGAGAGGGAGAGGGAGAGGGAGAGGGAGAGGGAGAGGGAGAGGGAGAGGGAGAGAGAGAGAGAGAGAGAGAGAGAGAGAGAGAGAGAGAGAGAGAGAGAGGCGCTAAGATTTGTCTGTGTGTGATAAAAGTAACCAGAGTACCTACTCTCTGGGATCTGAAGGTCACTTTCAACCACACTCATCCTAGATAAATGTAAATACAAAGCTTCAGCATATGATGCTTTAAACAATGTCTGAGCCTGATGTCTTTTCAGTCCACATCAGACACCCTCCTCAAGCATCACACTAGGGTCACAACTACTCAAAGGTCCCACTTACCTGTGAAGGTGCCCATGAAAGTAATGCTCAAAGCGATGTCATTGTAGCCATCAGTCTTGGAGCCTTGGTTATTCCAGCCCACCCCTTCATAAACACCACCATCCTGGCCCACAAGGAAGCTGGAGATATACAGGAGAGATGGAGATTAGCATGAAAGAGAGACTCTGGAACTGACACTTGCTTTCCTTCATCAATTCACTCATTTTTTTTTTTAACTCAGCTAAGCCCCAAGTTTCAGAACAAATAAGAGAAAGTCATTGTGAGTGGTATGTTAGTGAAAACATTCAGAGGAATGGAGCTATAGAGGGTCCCAGACTTAAAACATTTGCTCATCTCTGCAGGAGTAAATTGCCACAGTAGCCGCTGTTAAAATATAAATGACTTGCCAACTCCCTGATTTCCCAAATGTCTAACTATTAAAGTTGAACCTGCCAACTCCTCTTCCTTCTCCAGTCATCCTCTTCCCTTGAAGTCCACCGTGTAATGATCCACTCACTCTCTTGTCTGTCAAATCCATCTCTGTGTCTCAGTCTCCTCAAGTTTGTGCTCCTTGGGGTGCTCCCCTGCACCTCTCCTTCTCACTCTACCTACTCTATCAGAACTAATCTATCCATTTCCTTGGCTTCTTCACCATCCATGAAAGTGCACAACTCACATTTGGTGCCACCTCTCACTTTCTCTGGGATAGCACTGGAGAGAAAATCACCACCCACTGGCTCCAAACCCAGGCCTCAGCCCATTCACTTCATCCACTTGCCAGCCAAGGCTTGTCACCAGTGTCTCCCAGCCATCTCTCTGACATAGTCTTATACCATAGTCACTAGCCACTCACTTTTGTGAACTCTCAAAAGCTCCACTTCCCCCTGTGACATCTGTACCCTCGTAGCTCTATAAACATCTTACCTTGTCTGGATTACCACAAATCTTAAATTCTCATTACCCTCGCCATTCTGTTCCCAAAGTATCATCCAAGGTACCTTTCTCAAGTACAAATCATGTAAAATTTTGCTCTTACTCCTTTGTGTCCTAAACTTTCAGTTAAAATATACATCATTCTTCAGGACACAACTCTTTGCCTCCCAGCCTGACTTCTCACCACACCCAATATTGGCATTTATGTGATCATACTCAATCTCCCAGATCCTCAAAGACACTTTCTTACCCTGGAATCCAGGCCTTCACCTGTATTTGAAGCACTCTTGCTGCTTCCTCCTCTGATCTGTTCCCACTCCTTCCTGGGGTCCCAGACAAGGATTTTCTCCTCTGAGGAACGAGTCCTTCATTCTTCTTCCTGCCTTCCTGCTCCATCTTTTATGTGTCCTTCACAATAGCACTTAATTCACCTTGTTGAGACAGCATTGTGAGCTCTTTGTTCCCTCACTGAAGTCCGAACACCAGGAGGGTAAAAGCCACCTGTGCTTCCTGCCACACAGCACAGCCTAATGCTGTAATGTATGAGAGTATTTCCTGTGTTCAGACCCATTCAAGAACAGCAATAGGGCATTATAAATAAGAAGCCAAGAAAACAGTAACTAGAGTCTGAGTAGGAAAGGAAAACCTTTATCCTCAGTTGAAAAAAGATTCTAAATTTGTATTTCATATTCACATCTCCATTGCAGTTTGAGAGAACATCAGATTATCCTGAATGGCAAGACCTACCATCATTTGGTAAGTCCTGATAGACAATTAGAGGTAATATTTTCTCCCATCTGTAAAGAGCTTCACTAAAGAGTATTGGTCATCTTAGAATATATCAAGTAACAAATGCAACTGAGGCAGGCACATTGCACACAAATGCCTGGTGAGAACAGTCAAGACTAAAATATAGCTCCAGAAGCTAATCCATGAATGTCTCAGGATAGTGGCTCTTTCTACTAACACATACAAACACACTGCATGAGTTAGCAGTGGCTCGTCCTTAGGCTTCAAGTTTAGTTTATTTGTAATGGGAAATGAACTGAGATGTTCCTGTGTCTTAGCTGCAAGCTCTGGGCATATCCTCCAGTGTTTTTGACTGTTTAGGGAAATATTTTGTTTTCTATGTGGGCCAGTCTTAAGTTACTGTCTTTTAGTTACTATCTTTTAATGCAAATATTTTTAAGATTTATTTATATAATGTATTTGAGTACATTGTAGCTGTCTTCAGTCTTCAGACATACCAGAAGAGAGCATCAGATCCCATTACAGATGATTGTAAGTCACCATGTCGTACCTGAGAATTGAACTCAGGACCTCTGGAACAGCAGTCAGTGCTCTTAACCGCAGAGCCATCTCTCCAGCCCCCAATGTAAGTGTTCTTAACCAACAAAACCCAATCATAGAATTTTGATATTCATTTAAATTACATTATGTGAGAATGAAGGGAAGAAGGGAAGGAAGATGGTAGGAGAAGAAAAGGAAAGTGGGAAAAGAGACAGACAGACACAGAGAAAGGATAAGGGAAGGAATCTGGGGAGAGGAAATATATCCTCCCATTAGGTAACACATTTTTTATTATGGAATCACAGAACTTGGCACTATGAAATTGTCAAAGGTTTATCCAGTCTCTCTGTGTAGAAAAGACTCTCCCTCTGAATGTTCAGAGTCTTAGATGCAAAGGACTGACACAATAACACCAGAAGGAGCAATCCAACCAGAGGGCATCACCTGCGTCACAGTATAAAGAGAGGCAACAGACTTGGGTTAATCTCCTCTACAGGCTCCACAGTCTCACACATTGTACCTCCCTCTAAATATATCTTCAGAAGCCTTGGAATCTATAATGTCCATAAACTGTCTTTAATGGGTGCACATTTTGAGGATATGCTTGGGGCTATGATTGCTCCTTATCTGTCTCCTAAATAAGAGCATCCTAGATTAGGTAAGAAGCCAATGTAGTAAGTACCTATAGGTCTCTCAGTAATCCATTAAAATTATCTGCCTTTCCCCCAAGTTGAGAGATTCTATTTCTCCCACTGAATGAAGAAAGCCCCTGTTTTATGGATGACTTACTTATACCCAATGTCACATGCGCTTAGCCTGTCCATGAAGAAGGACTGGAGATCTCGGACCAGCAGGCGACACTCGTCAGGCTGACTGCATGTTCTCCCAGCAGTGTGAAGGATGATGGCATACTTTGCAGGGAGGGTCATCTTGGAGCAGTGGGACTCTCTTGCCCCCCAAACAGAACGTGGAATTATATGGGGACAATCTGTTGTAGGATAAAACAACAAAACATAAAGGATTCATTTACCACCTCATGCCAACCACATGACTACTGAAGGCTGCTGTAATCCTCTGCTTGTTGAGATTTCCCAACCATCCTCAAACCTCTTCCCAATCCTGACTATGGTCCTCTGGAATATACTGATCCAAGCAACAAAGATAGAAGCTTTACTATGGAAGCCTGTTTGATAGACATTTAAAAGCCATAAGAGTCTGCTTGTATAAAGCAATCCTAAATATGGAGCCCTCGAAAAGGCCAATAGTTCATACTGGCTTTATCTCTAAAGCTTCAGGAAGTCCCTGACACATTGACTAGGTTAACTAGGCCTCTCCTGTCCTCTGTGTGTGTGTGTGTGTGTGTGTGTGTGTGTGTGTGTGTGTGTGTGTGTGTAGTGAGGAATGCTGAGACTAGCTGAGACACACTCCAACTTGTTGAACTACCTGCAAATTGTGCAATAAGCTCCACATTGGAGAGTGACCACCCAGACTGTAGTGGGCTTTGGTTACAGGCTTTTTCATAAGTAACCCCTCACCCATGCTCCTATAATTAACCCCCAAAAAACTTGTTGGTTCAGAGAGAGGGGGAATGGAGGAAGAAAGGGGAATGGAAGGAGAGAGGGGAATGGAAGGAGAGAGGGAAAGGGAAAGAGAAGGAGAGGGAGAGAAAGGGGAGAGGGAGAAGGATGGAGAGAGGGAAGAAGGGAGGTATAGAGGAAGGCAAGAAGGAAGGAAACAAAAATCAAATAAAGAAGTTTGGTTTGGGTTTGTGCTGGAGGGATGGCTCAGTGAGTACTTGTTGCTCTTACAGAAGGCCTGGGTTTGGTTTCTAGTGTTCACATGGCAGCTCACAATCTTCTGTAATTCCAGTTCCAGGGCATCTGATGCTATCCTCTGACTTCCATGGACACCAGGTTCAAACATGGTACACATATATATGTGTGTAGGCAAAACTCTCATACACATAAACAAACAAATGAGTCTAGTAACTTATTGGTTTTAATGCTGTCACTGCTTGTTAACCCAAAGCAGCATCTAACTTGTTGTATGAAATTTTTTTCATTCCTCCTCTAATGTCATGGTGACAATGTCAATTTTCTGTTATTTTCTGTATTTATAATGTGCAGTTGTGAAAAAGAACTGTGCAGTAATGTGCCTGGTCCTTTTCTATGCCTATTTTCTTCCCTAACAATTCTGACCATATAACACGCTGAGACTTTTACCTGTTCGATTTGTCCCGTATCTTTCTCTCCCCTCTGCACTGAAGCTCTATGACTCAAGGATTCTTGTGCTTTGTTCCTTAGATCCAATTTTTGCTAAGGAAACAAGTGTGGAGTGACTGCAAAAAAAGATTGTTCACATAACACCACTCATCCTGATGGGGTACTGTCACTACAGTTAATGCAGAGAGAGGTGGCCTGAGAGGGTCCTCTCAAGGCTTGCCAACACCAGTATTTCAGAAAGCTAGGTGACCACATGGCTCCTGGAAGGGATGTAAGAAAGCCTGAAGGGTCACTCCTGGGTCTCACCTTTCTTCTGTTTCCCTTTCTGTGGAGGTACCAGGCAGTCTTCACTTTTCACAAGAAATGGCTGGATGTACTTGAATGACAAGTGGCCCTTCATCACAGCATGGGAAATCAGGCCCTTCATGGCTGACAGAGCAACAGGGCTGGGACTATGGCCTGGAAGAGAGTGGTTTACAGGTATCCCAGTCTGGCCTAGTGTCAGAGAACAGTGGGAAGAAACCAGTGTGCTCTGACAAACCTACACAGCTACTAGAGGAAACCATAGGGACAGGTCAGAGAGGTGAGCATCAAAGACCTGCTATAGATGGGCTCTGGGTGGCTTAAGTTGAAGCCTTCCCCAAAGATATGCCACGACTTTACTTGTCCATACCCTCTATGCACAAGAGAATGTTAAGGTAGCTATGCCCACTAAGTCCCCCTGCTTACACCAGCACTTCCCATCATTTTTCTCAACACAAAGCTCTGACTCAGACACTATTAGCAACCCCCTTGTTCATGCAGAACAACATGGGATCTAAAGAGTACATGCTCCACATCCCAAACCAACAAATAAATTGAACAGGCACCCTGGACCCAGCACTCTGTAGGAACCATCCACCTATTGGAAATGGAAAGTACAGGCTCATGTTCTGACTCCTTCCCCATGGTGTGTTACTTTGGGTTAGCTGCTTCTCTGAAACTTGTGTCACACACTGTAGTAATAGGAATAATGGAATCTACCAGGACTATCCCAAAGGGTACCGAGTAGGTAATGAGAAACTACAGAAATCAGCTAACAACCTCACAGACATGCTGCTAGGACAACATATTAGGATTGAGGGGGCAGTAGGTTAGAATCAACAGACTTGGAAAAAATGAAAGACTGTCATTACAGGCTGGGATGTCCCAGAACAAAACACAAGACAAATGATGAGTTATCCCCTTAAACTGTGAGCTAAAATAAACCCTTCTTTCTTTCCTTAAGTTGGTTTCATCTGGTATTTAGTTACAGCAACAAGAAAAATACCTAATACAGAGGCATCAAGGTGTTTTTCTTTTTTTAATGGACAGAAAACCTAGGAGTGAGAAACAGACAGAGGGTCATCTAGCCTACAGCCACAGACCTGTCAGTCCTGGAGTAAAGGTGCAATAGACACACCCGCAGATATAACACACAAAGCACAGATCTAGCTGAAGAAGAACAGAGCAAGAACCTAGCAGATAGAAGCCCAGTGCAAAGAGCAGGAAGGGCTCACCTAGAGAAGCCTAGGAGCTCGAGAAAGAAACGTGGCAGAACATATGTAGCAGAGGTGCATCTTGGTCTTCATGTGGGTCCCCAACAACTACAATGACTGTCCCTGACTCTGTTGCCTGCCTGTGGATCCTGCTCCCCTAACTGAGCTGTCCTCTCTGGCCTCAGTGACAGAGAATGTACCCTGCAGTGACTTGCAGTGACTGCAGTCCTGCAGTGACTTGAGGTGCCAGGGTGAGTAGGTTCCCCTTCCCAGAGGTGAGTGGGAGGGAGGGCAAGAAGAGCCATGTGAGGAGGGCCTGGGAGGAAGAGGGACTGAAATTTGGATGTGAATAAATTAGTTAATGGAAAAAATGGGAAATGTGACAGAGACATAGAAGAAAGCCAGAGAAGACAGAAGGAGAGCATCACATTGTGTATTCTAGAAACCAAGGGAGAAAAACTTGACAAGAGAAACTGAGAGGGCAGCAGATCATCAAGGCAGAGCAGCAGAGATCTCTTGGAATGACTGTCAGCTGAGGTACCATTACCTTCCTGGGTGCCAAAGAAGGCAACACCTAAGGAGATGTTGTTGTAGCCCTGGTCGTGAGAGCCTTGGACATTCCAACCAACACCTTCATACACTCTGCCATCATCCCCAACCAGGAAACTGTGGGCAGGGAAACACGAATTACTGACTGGCACTGACACATTCCTGAAACCACCTACTTAGGTTGAGAAGGGAGAAGAGCTCAGGGCAGCTTCACCAAAAGTATTCACATGGATTTCTCTGAGACAATAGAAATACCAAGTTATGTATTCTCATCCTTAACGTTGAAAAGGACCACTCACACACATATCTCATACTCCCTTCCTATATCCAAGTTATCTATAAATCATCATAAACACTGAGAAGGAAGAGGGGACCTTGTTCATCTGCAGAAACTAAAATTGATCTAGCCACACAATACTTTTCTCCATGGATTCTAAACATTCTTAAAAATGGCTCTCCTACCTTCCACTGAAGACATACTGCCCACACAATGTCCACACAGGTTACTCATTTGTTTTCTCCCTGCTAGACAATGTTCTACATAAACACGCCATGTGAGACATGGACATAGTGGCAGAAAATGTGTTTGAGTAGTGATCCCAGAAGCCACAGAGATGGAGCAAGGAGAAAAAAGATCAAAGAGTGAAATTCAACAGCCTATGCCCCTGAAGTAACTTGAGAGTAAACACCCAGCACTGACGGTGACTGCTGTTCACCCATCATGTCGTGCTGAAGAACTATGTATATACACTTTAAAGCCATCCTTCAGGAGCTGAAAGGGTCTGTGGCCCCATGAGGAGAACAACAATACCAACCAACCAGCGCTCTCAGGGTCTAAATCACCAGCCTGAGAGCATACAGGGAGAATCCATGGCTCCAGCTGTATATGTAGGGGAGGATGGTCTTGTCGGGCATAGGTGGGAGAGGTGATCCTTGGTCCCATGAAGGCTGGACACCAAGTGTGGGGGAATTCGAGGGTGGGGAGGTGGGAGTGGGAGTTAAGTGGGGGCACATCCTCATAGAAGCAGGAGGAGGGAGGATAGGATAGGGAGTTCCTGGGTGGGAGTGGGAGGGAATAGGGTAAGGAGATAACATCTGAAATGTAAATAAAATGTCCAATAAAAAATTAATAAAGAAAAACATCCTTCAGAAGGCCTGGGCTGATGAAGTTAACCACTAATTACTGTCCTCCATGGATCATTAACTCCCCTATATCATAGAAGCCTTAGAGAAAGCATAGTGTAGGAAAGCAGAGATGCTGTGGACATCTGAGACCAGAAGCCGTTACTAAGCTCCAGTCTGTTGATAACCGGCCAAAGTCAGATAGGAATCTCCTAAACTGGCTGTTGGGGTCATAGGTGGGATGATTGCCCAGTGAGATCAGAGCCTGTACCTATAGTGTAGTGAGACTACCTTGGACGGAGACAGGTTGAGCTAGTTTAGAATAGATGACTGTTCCTCTGTATGACACTGAAGAAATCAAACAACCTCCCTACCTTGGGGAAATGGTGACTCTTGTTCTGCCCTAATCAGACTGGTGGATGATAGAGGCAATTAGGTATAAGGAAGAATTCTGTAAACTGTGATGTGTCAGGTAAACCGAGATTTTCCAGAGGCATTCAAAGGAGCAGTTATGTCTTGATTTTCATTCTGCATCTCAGAGGCAAGAACCTCACAGAAAATTATCAGGATTTCATGAAGACTTTGAATACTGTATTCATTACAAAATCTATAAAACCACAACCAAGAAGGCAAGGAAAACAGGCAAAAAGACTACAAGAACCTTAACAGAGCAGCTCTGAGCACATGACTGGCCCAGTCACGTACTTGTAGGCCACATCACACCAGCTGTTGTGGATGTGATAGGCCTGAAGTTCCCGAAGCTTCTGGCTACAGACAGTTTTGTTGTGGCACTCTAGTCCAGGGATATGGTGTACGACAAGGACATCCACTGGCCTGCTCAGCTTGGAGATGCAGCCAATTGCTTTTGCCCCCCATTCCTCACGAGAAACCATGATGAAGAAATCTGTGGGGAAAGCATGGCACGTCAATCAGTGCATCCTACATTTGTTACCTAAGCTACACATGTTGTCGGATCCATGCTGGTGAAAACGCCCTAGGAGAGGTATCAGCAGCTGGCCATACCTTTCTGCTCATGTCTCCACCTTACAGGCTCTCACCACAATTGCAGCTGAATTGACCAGGGAGTCTGGATATTTTGCTCTTCCATATCAGGAATCCCCATCATAAGTGTACTCCCATTAGGAAGTATGTCCATGCCATCCACTTGCCCCACCCAGCCCTCTAGCCTAATTTTGCACTCACTGACAATTCCCTCTAAGACTTCTACTCTCCTTAAGGAGTCACACTTCCTCCTCTGCCTAAAGGATCCCACTAGAAATGGTCTTTATCTGCCCTTCACTCTCTGACCTGCTAAACTCAGAGACTGGCTCTCTACCCTATATAAATGTTTCTCCCATTTTGATATCATTCCCTTATATCCCAAAAGTGTTTAAAAAAAAAACAATTGAACTGTTGGCCAGAGTCCCTCTACAATTCAATGCTACTCAACGTGTCCCGGTTGGCTGTGAAAACTTGCAATGAATATCTGGCCACATAAGAAACCCCAGCAGGTCCCTGGGTCTCCTCACCATCACGACCCAGTACGCCTTTCTCAAAGAGCTGGGAGATGTTGCCAAACAGTTGCTGCAGCCCTTCTGACACCTGGTTAGTCTGTGGGTTTTCCCAGGAGGAAACACCTGCAAAAAGAATGTTCCTGTTTTTATCTATCTTCAAAGAGTTCCAAAATCCTTTGATAATAATCAGAATAACAGCTCTAGCCAGAAATAGCTGCTGTCTTCACTACCCTTCTCCCTCCCTAAGTCCCCAAGCCTCTCCCAAGAAGTCCCTCAGGGTTGACCAGGAAGCCCCCTCTAACAGATGGTGGCATGGTTTTCTCTGATATTGTCTTCGGGGAAACCCCTCAGGATGATGGTTCATTGCTCTAGGTAAGGAGTTGGGCATATTGAACAATTATAAGACATATATAAACATACAACTGGCAAAAATAACTGGGAAATATATTCAGGCACCTCAAAACCACAATGTTCTCATCTGTGTACATTTTGTGTATCTGATGCAATAAGAAGAAATAGTTATGGTGCTGGTTCAACTGGAGGACAACATGTAGAAGAATGCAAATTGATCCATTCTTATCTCCTTGTACAAAGCTCAAGTCTAAGTGGATAAAGGGCCTCCACATAAAACCAGATACACTGAAACTAATAGAAGAGAAGGTAGGGAAGAACCTCGAATACTTGGGCACAGGGGAAAAATTCCTGAACAGAACACCAATGGCTTATGCTCTAAGATCAAGAATTGACAAAGGGACTTCATAAAATTGCAAAGTTTCTGTAAGGCAAAGGACCCTGTCAATAGGACGAAATGGCAACCAACAAATTGGGAAAAGATCTTTATGAATCCTACATCTGATAGAGAGCTAATATCCAATATATTCAGAGAACTCAAGAAATTAGACTCCAGACAACCAAATAACCCTATTAAAAAATGAGGTATAGAGCTTAACAAAGAATTTTCAATGGAAGAAACTTGAATGGCCGAGAAGCACCAAAGAAATGTTCAGTATCCTTAGTCATCAGGGAAATACAAATCAAAACAACCCTGAGATTCCATCTCACACCAGTCAGAATGGCTAAGATTAAAAACTCAGGTGATAGTAGATGCTGGTGAGGGTGTGGAGAAAGAGGAACACTCCTCCATTGTTGAAGGGACTGCAAGATGGTGTAACCACTTTGGAAATCAGTCTGGTGGTTCCTCAGAAAATTGGACATAGCATTACCTGAGGATCCAGCTATACCACTCCTGAGCATATACCCAGAAGATGCTCAAACATACAACAAGGAATATGCTCAACTATGTTCATAGCAGCCTTATTTACAATAGCCAGGAGCTGGAAAGAACCCAGATGTCCTTCAACTGAGGAATGGATACAAAAAATGTGGTACATTTACATAATGGAGTATTACTCAGCTATTAAAAACAATGAATTCGAGAATTTCCTAGGTAAATGGATGGAACTAGAAAATATCATCCTGATATTTTCTAATAAGCCAATCACAAAAGAACACACATGGTATTCACTCACTGATTATTGGATATTAGCCCAGAACCTTGAAATACCCAAGATTCAACTCACAGGCCACATGAAGCTCATGAAGAAGGAAGACTAAGTGGGAATGCTTCGGTCCTTCTTAGAAGGAGCAACAAAATACTCAAGGGAGCAAGTATGGGGACAAGGTAAGGGACAGAAACTGAAGGAGGGGCCGTCTGAAGACCATTCTACCTGAGTATTCATCCCATGTGCAGTCACCAAAGGTAGATGCTGATGTGGAAGTCAGGAAGTGCATGCTGATAAGAGCCTTATATAGATGTCTCCTCAGAGGTCTGCAAGAGTCTGACATGTTCAGAGGCAGATGCTCACAGCTAGCCATTGAACTGATCATGGGGTTCCCAATGGAGGAGTTAGAGTGAAGACTGTTGGAGCTGAGGGGGTTTGTGGCCCCATGAGGAGAGCAGCAATACCCCCAACCAGAGCTCCCAGGGTCTAACCACCAACCTGGGAGTACTTAGGGAGGGATCCTTGGCTTCAGCTGTATATGTAAGGGTGGAAGGCCCTGCTGGGCATAGGTGGGAGAAGAGATACTTGGTCTCATGAAGGCTGGATGCCACAGTGGGTGGGAATTTGAGGGTGGGGAGGTGGGAGTGGGAGGGTAGGTAGGGGTACATCCACAGAGAAGCAGAAGGAGGGGTGAGGAGATAGGGGGCCCCTGGGGGGGATGGGGTAAGGGGATAACATATGAAATGTAAATAAAATGTCCAATAATTAAAAAGAAGAAGAAGAAGAAATAGTTAAAATGACCTTTCATGAGTCAGGCCATTTCCTGCTCAGTGCTAAGGTATTGGTCAAAACTATGCTCCTACTTGAAGGACTGTGAGAGATGTCACCAGGCACTGCTTTACATTATTGCTCCAAAGGAACCTTGTTTTGTTTACAAGCACAAATATAAGTTTGTGTAAATGCTAACTGGCATAAAATTAATACAGATATAATCAGTTCTCTCATTGATTTGTTCTTACTGCCAAGTGCTAAGTCAATCATATGTTACCTCACTTAATCCTCAAATTTAAGAGGAAAGCAACCTTTTTCTCAATCTAGAGAAACTTAAGGTTTAAAGAATTTAACCACTTATTGAAAACTATTCCTTGGGGTAGGGCAAAGAGTTGATCCCAGGTCTATAAACTCCACAAAGCTCTTCTTACATGCCATGGAAGAGCATATATTTGGTCCAGAGCCAGGGAAAACTTACCCCATGCCGGAAGAACCAAGGTAGAGAAGACAAGAAGCCAGGACAGCATCCTCAGGTGGTCCCAGGATGCTAAACGGAGTATGATAAGCAACCCTATGAGAGACACTGACAATTAACATGACTGTGCCAGCTGCCAATGACATGTCACCTGACTGTATGGAACCCTGTCTATCTACTTCCTTGCTGTAGGCCTTCTGAGGGCCGGCACCTACTGATGCACAACATCCTAGTACAGACACCTATCTATTCTATTTTACTGGTGCCTTCTCTTTCTCTCTCTTTCTTTCTAACTTCTCTCTCTCTCTCTCTCTCTCTCTCTCTCTCTCTCTCTCTCTCTCTTTCTCTGTCTCTCTGTCTCTTTCTCTCTTTCTCTTTCTCTCTCTCTCTCTCTGCGTGTGTGTGTGTGTGTGTGTGTGTGTGTGTGTGGTTTGTGTAGATACTTGCATAGTAAGTCTTAAATAATCCTCACTCAAATTCTATATATACAGGAATAAAATCTAAGAATGGTTTAGCTAAGATCCAAACTCACATGGAAGGGTCTAATGCAGACATTCTTTTTCCAGCTAGGAATAAGACCAGATGACGTAAGCAGGATGTCAGAGTTAAGAGAGACCAGACCAGGTTCTGGAGCAGAGGGCGCCTGATCTATCTTAAACTGGTTTAGTAGAGTCTAGTTCCTTCTGGGAATAGTTTTTAAAGATTACATTCAAACAGGAACAGCTGAAACTGGGGAATGGCTCAGTTGCTAAAGTGTTTGGCAAGCAAGAATGATGGAGTTCAAAATCGCCCAAAAAAAAAAAATCCTAAGTGTGAGTGTGGCTGTGCAAGTCAGTAATTCCAACACTGGGAGAGGGAGATAGGCGATCCCTGGAGCTCACTGTTCACTCAGCCTGGCCAAATCTATGAGCTCAGTCAGTCACTGAGAAATCCTGTCTCAGAAAATAAGATGTAAAGCAGTTGACAAAACACCCAACCTGGACCTCCTTACACAAACACACACACACACACACACACACACACACAGGGGGTGGGGAAGGAAGGGGAGGAGGAAGGAGATGGATTAGGGAGGGAACACTGATTTATACATACACACCACCATGCTCTCATACAAAATAGAATTACCTGGGACCCTGTTTTGTTCCAGCCCAGCAAGTCAGAGGACAGCCAGCTCACCACTCACTTTCTGGTAGTTCCCACCTTCTGCCTTGGTTTCCAGGCCTCTTACCTACTCTAGCAGGTGTCAATTCCTGCTCTCCCTGCCTCTAGAGGGCACCCAGTCACTAGGAATGGACACTTGGGCTCCAACTTCCTCAAAAGATGTGAGGGAGTCCCCAAAAAAAGGACAAAGTTCTGAGACTGGGATTCAATGCACTTCAGAGCACCAAAAGGAACTCAGGTGAGAACAGACAAATTGAGAGCACAGGGCCCGCCCTGTGAATAAGCTTGGGTTCCTCCTCCCTGGGAAAGGACACAATTGCCACATCATCCCTCACCTCCTTCTTCAGCTCAGCCTTCAGTAAGCCCTGCTGACCTGGGGCCTGAATGCCTGGTCCTTGTTTCTGACATCAGTGAACTTCTTGCCAATAGCAATCTATTCTCAAATCTGAAGATTGATTTAGGTCATTTACCAGTTTCTACTCCAAATGCCTTCCTACCAAGGTCACCAACAGGCAGGATGGAAGGAAAGAAGTAGAAAGCCATGTTCCCAGGAGGAAGTTCACTGTGCCTAATTCTGACCCTGTAGCCTGTATGTACAACACCTTCCTTCCTGCTACACCCACACTATGACCCATGAGAGGAAACAGTCTTCACCCAGGTCTGACTCTGGGCCTAATTATATCATCCCTGACCAGGTGTCCTGATCTAAAGCCTAATCTTTCGAAGCTTCAGATCTTTATAGAGGAAGCTCCACAAGACAGACCAGAATCTTCACAGGAAATATACAGCCTCTCAGCTCCCAGCAGATAGGGCAGCCTTCAGAGACCCTAGGAAATAGCACTCTAGGTAGAGACATGCCATCTTCTACCCTTTTTGAATAGTATAAAAGAATAATATCTATAACTATATTTAAAGTTACTACTGTGTTTTGCTACCTTCAAAAATACTTATCTGAGAAGATGTATTTTTCTTCCCATCTTCAATATAAACAGAATATAGAAATACATTGAATGTAAAAATAGAAACAAAACTGCAGCATTCTTCCTCTAGGATGTACAGTAAAGAGGATTGCAAACATTGTCTGTAAGACATGTCTGTAGCTTTGTAAAACAAGTAATTACTTTATCTGTAATAGTAATATTAATGGGTGTTTAATGGTACTTTAAACAATTTGGGGTTTTTTCAAATTCTAATAAAATAAGTATATAGAAATATAACTCATTTTAAAAACCCTTTGTGATACTCAGTAATTCTCACAAGCCCAAGATAATTCTAAGAGCAAAATGTTTTAAAATCTGAGGCCAGGAACCTGGGAGATGCTCAGCATTTAAAAGAACTGGTTGAAAAAAAAATAAAATAAAAGAACTGGTTGAGCCAGCCTGACAGCTTGAGAACCCAGGTTAATCAGCTGGATATGGAGACACACACTGCAACAGTGAGATAGGAGACAGAGATACAGTGCAGCCATGGAATAAACAAAAGGTACAATACTACCTCAACAAGTCAGAACGGATTCCCAAAAGTTGTTCCCTGACCTCCTAATGCATGCTGTGGAACATGCATGCCCACACCACACACACAACAACAACAACAAATTATTCTGAGTCCACAATTGTGTATTTTTAAAAACTAAAAGAGGGCTGCATAGTGGTGGCAGACACCTTAACCTAAGCACTTAGATGGCAGAGGCAGGTGGATCTCTGAGTTTAAGACTGGCCTGGACTACACAGTGAATTTCAGAATGGCCAGGAAACATAGAGAAATCCTATCTCAAAAAAAAAAAAAAACATAAAAAGAGCTTCTGGTTTCCATCTGCACCTGGGAGCTGACCCTGTGGCCCAGGCCTCCTCACTCAAATCCCACCCTGGGAAGACTTGTCCCCCAAGCTGTTGACACACCCAAGCTCACAGGTGAGACCAACACTACCATCCCAAAACCTGGCTCAAGTAGGTCCCACCTTGGGCCCAGTGGACATAGGAACATCAGCACAGTTGGGGACATCATCCTTCCGGTTTCCATCTGAGCCTGGGAACTGACCCTGTGCTGCAGTCCTCTGCACCCCAATCCCTCCCAGAGGAAGCTTGTACCTCAGGAGTGTTGACACACCCAGGCTCACAGTCTCACAAGCTCACAGGAGGGAGAAGAAGAGAGAGGGAGAGGGAGAGGGAGGGGGCGAGGGAGGGGACTGCGGTGGGTCTCCGCGTGTGCCTAGCAGTCTAAGGTTGTTGTAATATCTAGGTTAGGT